ACTACAGCACCGTCGGGTTAAATGCCCAACCATGTACGCCTTGGCGTTCGACCTAGCCGGGCCCTTCAAGGAGCTAGGCAGAGACGACCGCGGGGGAAAGTACAAGTACGTGCTGGTCGCGGGCTTACGTGTTCCTGATGCTGCCCTGCCCTCACCAAAGCAAGACAAAGGTGCACCCAAGGCTGAGGTACAGGCTCCGGATGTTCAGGCTGAAGCTTCAGGGATGAACGTGCAAGATGATGATGCTGCATCTGAAGCTAGCTGGCTAAGGGAACAACTGTCACCCAAGCCGGCAGTGATGAAGGTTGGTGAAGACAGTGATTCCTCTCAGGAGGAGGATGCAAGGTCAGAGGCAAGTTGGTATGAGGCACCCTTCGTTGATGATCTTCCACCCCCAGAGACCGAAGAGGCTGTTGTAGGCGATGATGAGCCAGATGTTGAAGGTGGAATAGGGTTAGATGTGGATCCTTGGGAGGATTCCGGGGGGTATGCTGATATGACCGACGAGAAATTCGATGAGGCTTTGTCGGAGTTGCTATTCTCAGGTGCCAACAAGGTATTGAGGTTCGCAGTTCCCTTGAAGGCCAGGAAGGGTCCGCTGATCCTAGCTGGATTGCAGGAGGTTGTCACCGAATGCAATCGACTAGGCTATCCCGTGAAAATAGTTCACACAGACCGGGCCAAGGAACTGATGTCCAAGGCTACCATGGACTGGTTGCAGTCAAACCTCATCCAGCCTTCCTTCACCCAAGGAGATGATCCGAAGTCTAACGGTTTAGCCGAAAGGTTGGTTGGGTGGGTCAAGGCTAGAGCCCGGTTGCATCTAGCGTCGTCAGGTCTTGGAGTGGAACAGTGGCCTTCAGCAATGGCGTTTGCGTGCGCAGAGCACCGTCGTCGCTTGCTACAGCAAGAAGGAACCCTTCCCCGTTTTGGACAAAAGGTGATCTTCAAAAGTAAGCATCCCACCGGCAAATCAAAACGACCGTTTTTGCGTTGGGAGCATGCTGTGTACCTGTGTCCAACTCCACGAACGGAAGGAGGACACGTGCTCCTCCGGGGAGCTTCAGGTGCCTATTTGGTAGCCAAGAATGTACGCTGTGTGGAAGATATGGTGGATCCTGAAGCTGAGTTTGGGAAAGAAGAGATCGTGGAAGTAGATCCACCGGAACCCGGTTTCGACCACTCCCAAGGAGGATCACCCATAGGGCCCAGCAGGCGCGTCACGGGCAAAAGAGCAGTTCGCTCAGTTCAGCTGGCTTCAGAGGCGTTCGCGGAGAATCTGTTGCAGGAACAGCTCTTTACCTCCGATCATTGTGGGCGTCTGCTGCAGCTTGCATTTGGTGGCGTTGAGGGAGGTACACGAAGGGAACATCGGGGTCCAGTTGGGTTCTCGGTTATCTTTGGTGCATATAGCCACGGGGGTTTGCAAGGGATAACGAGAGCCAGTAGGATGTACCCGATGGTGAGCAGGTACTTGAATGAGTATTTGCGCCGGTGCTCTTCCAATGAGCTTGCCGAAAATGAATGGTCGTCGCTCATGGTTGTTGTTGCCGACGAGGTGGCCATGCACCGGGATGTGAGGAACGAGCCAGGTTCCTTAAATCATGTCACACAACTGACTACTCGCATGATGTGGGTTGAAGGTGATTCGCCTTTGATGGCAGAGTGTGAGCGACAGGACGCTCAAGGGCGAACACACAAGGGATACCTGCTCCCTTTGACGCAGGCTACAACAGTGTTCGATCCTAAGCGTCGCCATGCAGTGCTTCCAGCGACGAATTGGGTGATTGCAGGGTACACGCCACTGGGGTATCAGAAACTGTCGACCTTCAAGCAGCACCAGCTCATAGAGCTAGGGTTTAGGTTGCCTTCTCTAGATCGCACCCCAGCTGTGTGTAAGCTAGTGGGGCCTTGCCCTCATAGACTGCCCGGGTTCCGTGCCAGACCTTACCCGCCACCCCCAGGCAGAGCAGCTATGTTGGTGAGATACGCTAGAATGACGGGAGAAGAATGGGCGGAGCTGTGTCAGCTTGAGGAGGAGGAGTTTGAACGGCGAATGGGCCGTTGGCAGCGCGTGCTCGGGGGTCAGGATGAAGACCCTAACATGAACTCGTTGTCAGCTTCCATACCTCATCACCTGTTCATGCAAACGGTGTTTCGACAGAGGAACTGGAATCGGAACCCGGAGGTGGTGGTGCCGGGAGCCGGGGGAGAGCCACGTCTACTTGCACGTGTAATGGACTTCGCAGACGACGGGCCAACAGAAGAGTCACCGTTCCCCGATCGCATGCTTATGTTTTCGGTACATGATGTGATCAGAGATGTCCTCGAAATGGTGATCCTACGTGTTGAGGCCAGACCCCCGCCGCAGGAGCCACGGGTTCAGGAGGAGATTGGTCCTGTGTTGCAGCCACCCGGGCCAGCCCCGCCAGAAGTGCGTGCGGTCAAAAAGGTCATTCCAGAAGCAGCCAGGTTCTCTGAGGCACCTGCAAGGTTACCGATATCGTTGCCCAATCCTGCATACATCAAGGTCGCTCCGGTGCAACCTGTCAGGTGTGAGGATTTAGCAGCAGCGGTGCGCAAGGCAGAGGCAGCCACTACCAAGGACCTGGAGGGATTGCTGGGTCAGCTTCAGGAGCCGCTAAGTGTTACTCACACTGCGTCGCAGGAGGAGGTGCGTGCCCATCTTGAACGGTGGAGACCAGCCATTGAAAAGGAGTTGGGGTCTTTGAAAAAACAGGGTGTGCTTGTGAGTCACTACGGCAACGAGGCCCAGGAGCTGATGGCAAACTCGGAGACTTCGGTTATTTCCTTGAAGGGCGTCTTCACAGTGAAGGCCCCAGGGGGGCCCGATGATGGCTTGTTCAAGCGCAAGTGCAGGTTGGTAGGATGTGGCAACCAGGCAACGCATGTAGATGCAGATTCTCTCTACGCGGCTGGAGCACCGGCCGAGGTAGTGAGAGTTGCTCTCACGGAGGCATGCAGTCACCAGTGGTCAGCCTTCACAACTGACATCAAATCAGCATTTACCCAAACGCCAATCCCGCCTTATGCAGCACGACGGTACCTTCTACGACCACCACGTTGGTTGATCGACCTAGGCCTGGCTGTTCCCGGAGAGTATTACTCCCTGGGAATGGTTTTGTACGGCTTCAAAGAAGCCCCGGCTTGGTGGTCTGATCACCGTGACAGCAAGTTGCGAGGTGCAAAGTTTCAAGGCTGTCATCTGGAGCAGGCAAAGTCGGACTCGTCGGTCTGGAGGATACAACAAGGGAGTCACCTGAAAGGTTATTTGATAACCTATGTGGACGACTTCTTGATCCTCAGCGACCGGGGAACCGCGGAGGGACTGCATCAGTGGCTCCTTGATGGTGCTGGCTGGGAGACAGATGGTCTGAGTGAAGCTCGTGAGGGGCAGCCAGTGAGGTTCTTAGGGATGCAACTTCAAGGGTATGAGGACGGTCACTTCAGTCTGGACCAGGAGGCTTATGTGGACGAGCTGGTGAGGGCTTATCAGTTGAATGATACTCATCGGTCCAAGATTGTGTGCCCCACAGAGATCCTGATGCGGGACTCAGATGTGGTTCAACCATTCGACGAGGAGGCCATCAAAGCAGCTCAGAAGGTGGCTGGGGAGTGTCTTTGGTTGTCGCAGAGAACGAGAATCGACATAGCGTTCTCAACCACGGTGCTTTGTTCCAAGGTGTCAAAGGATCCGCATGGCGCCATTGAGATCGGGAGGCGCATCATCCACTACTTGCATCAAACCAAGGACTTCAAGCTTCACTTGAAGCCCGTGAAGGGTGTTGCTCCCCTAAGAGTGTTCACTGATGCATCGTTTGCCCCGCTGGGGCAGCATTCCTACGGGGGACACGTGGTGGAAGTCAAAGGTGTTCCAGCCCTATGGAAGGCATCGAGACAGCAGTTGATCTCTCTGAGTTCTTCGGAGGCGGAACTCATACAAGCGGTAGAGGGATGCATGTACGCGGAGTCGCTCATGACCATTTTGGTCGATCTCGGGATTCAGTGCGAAGCTGCCGAGCTTTGCCTCGATAATACAGCCGCGATAGCCTTCGTGAATGGGTCTGGAAGTCAGCGTACGAGACATCTCAAGGTCAGGGGCTACAAGATACGGCAACTGATTCAGTCAGGCTGGACAGTATCTCACTGTCCTGGTGAGTATCAAAAAGCAGATCTGTTGACGAAAGCGCTACCGTCTGTGCGTTTGCAGTTTCTGTGTCGCTTGCTACAACTAGGAGGTGAGGCAACCGCCGTTGTGACGCCCAGGCCAGAGGTTCGCTCAGTAGGTGCACTGCCCTCGTCATTGTCAAAGGTGTTAACGCTGCTGCAGATTTGTAGGTGCTGTGGTGAGCTGACAGATGACAGTGATGACAAAGGAGGGGTTTCCATTGAGTGGCCGCGGGAGCTTGCGGTACTGACTATCTTGATTGTGCTCTCTACGCTGTTTGTGTGGGAGGCCGCAGGGGCACCGTGCAGGCGTCGACAACCCAACGAACCGCAGATCCGAGCGGTGTCTGTTGAAAAGGAAAGGCGGGCACGTAAACTGCAGGGTCGGGTGTCTGCTGCTATTGAAGCGGCGTTGAGCGAAAGCCCAACAGGCGATGAAGCCCAGCCAAGGGCCCGAAGAGGCCGGAACAAATGTCCCGGAGTCGGCGAGGAAACCCGAGGTGAGAGCGCGATGCCAACGGTCGTGTATGGTGGGATTAACATGCATATCCCTCCTGTTCCGGCGCCTACGAATGCAGCCCAACAAGGGTACAGTCAGCCAAGTGCGTCACCGCAACTACCAGTTGAGGCTCGCGGAAGCGGTCAAAGGGTAGCTTCAGCAAAGCCGTTGACGACTACTACAGGGTTCAAAGGGCCTGATGAACATGAAGGGTTGGGTCGTGACTCTGTAGTTTGGGAACCCAAGCGCTGTGTAGCTGCCTCGCATTCGAGTTCAACACAAACTGATCCTGTGATTGTTCTTGATCCCAGTGAGTATGTTTATGTTTCCGGAAGGGGCGACTGTGTTCACAAGGATCAAGATTGTCATGGACTGCGAAGGGCTTTCGATATTAGACCCAAGGCGGTTTGTCAGTACTGCTTGAATCGCTCGAAAGGGGCGAGGTAGGAAAGCATGTGATTCTCACCTAGCGGTGGAATCAAGGAGGAGTGTAGAATTCCAGGAAACCATGTGTACAGCTGGAGCATTCCGCCTCAAGGAATCATGGGCTCTTGAGATGCTAGCACCTCAGCAGCCTAGGACCTTTTTTACAACGATACAGACAGCTAGCCGACCTGCCAAGATGTTGTCTGTGTGAAGCGAAGAAAAAGCCTCTCCAATTCGCGCCATGTTCGATCTGTGATCACGGAGCTCTTTAATAGAAGACGGTCTGTGAGAATGAGTTCGAGCGCTGGCATGGCTAACCCAAACCTGAGTGATGTTCCCGGTGAGACCACTGATCTAGTCAGTGGCAGGGATAGACGACAAGATGAAGTTGAACAATTAGCATACGAAAGCCCAAACAGAATATACAGAAACGGAAGTCAGTTATATATTGCAGGAACAAAAGACCCCATCGACTTTTANNCAAACAAGAAACACGAAGAGATACAACGACGTTGATAAGTTCATTCAAGACGATGCTATCGAAATTGACGGTAAAAAACATTACGGCGTTACTGATATAATAAGCCATAGCTTAGGCTCGGCGGTAGGACAACAAATAAATAATGATTATGGTAATATATTTAGAAGTAGAAGTTATGGCTCGCCTTTTGTGTCAGGGCAACAACCAGAAGACACGGGGACAAACCTAAGAATACGAAAGTCGGGCGACCCAGTTAGTATATTTGATAAAGGTAGTACAACATTAAATAGGGGGACTTTAGACCCTTTACAAAATCATTCATATCAAGATATAGGCAACGTTCATAACAAAGCGGGTAATTTACCAATAACAACAGAAGAGTTTATGCAACAGTTTGATTAAAAACAGGCGAAGCTTGTTTTAATCAAACTCTTAAGAAGTGACCGCTTTTTAACAATTTAATTAATTTCTCAATAATATTAATAATGTTTGCTATCAACATCATACGAGAAGGTAGAGAAACCTAAACAAGATAAAAAGTTTAAACAAAACAGTTACGAAGAAATACGAAAAATCGTAGAAGATGGCGGGGATATGAAACTGAAAGAGACCATTAAAACAAAAAAGGGGAACAATAAAACTGAAAATAAAATTAAGTTTAATTTAT